AAAATAGTTTCAAAAAACTTTGAATCTCTAGTTGCATTCAAATGAGACTTCCATAGCCTTTTCTCTCGGGGCATATTCATAAATTTCCAAAGAAGGCTCGCTTTTAGAGTGGACGATGAAAGAAAAGATGCCTTCCTTTCGAGGTTGTCACCATTAACTCCTTCAGGTTGCCAGACAAAGTATGCAACCTCAGATTCTTCGCCTTCTGATTCCGGTTGTGTACCCCTGCTACTTCCTCTGCCCCTTCCTCTCCCCCTTCCCATTCTTCCTCTACCTCTGACAAGTGTCTTGCAACGTTTATTCTTTGCAGGGGGTTCACTCAATTCTGGTTCAACATATGGACTTCTTTTTGCCGGCCCTTGTCTTTGTTTTCTTTTCAAAGGAAATCTGAGTGGTGAGATCTCATGCTTAATGAACTACTCTAATGCATCCACTTTTGAAACTGTCGATCCTCGCATTCTTGGAGGTTCACCCTCAACCCGAGTCTCTTCTTCTTGATTTTCTTCTTGTTCTTCTTCTACTTCTTCATCATCATCTTCTTCAACTATCTTAGCTTTTCCCTTTTTCAAAGAACCTCTGCATCTGGCATCAAGCTCACGGATGCTATCCCAACAGATGCTTTGCGGATTCAACTGCAAATGTTGCATCCATACACTGATCTTTGGATAACTACTTCCCTTATAATCCTCCAGATCATACAGAAGTGCTTCTTCATCCTTTTCCACTAGTAGAATACTTTTAATACCCTGAAATAAAAAAAAATGTTACTTTTGACCTGTGTGATCCATGTGACCCGTGACCCATGTGACCCATGTGACGTGACCCGTGACCCGTGACCAAATCAATCCAACTTTCAAATAATTTCCTCGTAATTTAATAAATAACTTACCATCAGAGGGATTATAAACCCCGGGCAATGCCATTTTGTCTTTGGTTTCGCACCGAGACTCTTTCGCACTTGATCAATTATTCGATCAAAAGTGTATCGACCCCACGGAAATCGTTCACAGAAACGTAAATCATCAACCATGTCGAACAAATCATGGCTGATTTGTTCGGATGACAGGGCATGATCCAAGATTCCGGCCATCAAGCATACAATAGCCAATCTCTTACGATCTGCTGCCCTCTGGGGTGACATATATCTCAATTTCTCCACCACATCATTCAAACAAACTTTCTTACGTCCGAAAGTCTTTTTCCTGAACTCACTCTTTTTGAAGCTCTCCCATTCTTCTGGATATTTTCCACACTTCAAACCACATATAAGTGCATGCTCAATGATTGAGTACCTCACGGGCACACCATTGAGCACGAACCACAATTCCTTCTCGTCTTCCCCTTTAACAGAGCGGTTAATGAGAACTCCCGCAGGCGCCATCTTTAACTGGGGATCCCATTGCGCGTGGAATAGATGTTGGAACTGTGATTCTTTCTCGAAGTACGTCCATTCATCCTGTGTCAGTACTTCTTTAAGTGTCTTCAGTGTCTCATACGGATAACACTTCGTATTGATCTTCGAAGAAAACTGAATGTCTTCGAATTTGTAGACAAATGGAAGCTGCAAAATAAAATAATTGTTCGTCATTGTGATCTTTGTGACCTGGGACCTGGGATTCGTGGCTCATGTGACCTATGTGACCTGTGACCCATGTGACCCGTGACCCATGTGACCTGTGACCCGTGATCCGTGACCCGTGTGACTCGTGTGCGGTGTTGTGTTATATTATACTATTACCATATAAATCTCTGTGACCCATGTGACCTGTGACCCACATGACCTTGCGACTTAGGAAATCATTAAATTTGCCAAGGTATTCCGAAATCTCATATCCACACTCTAACTTTCTATTTCGAATTCCTAAAACCCAAATTATATATTTCAAAACACAAAACCCTAACTTTATTTTCAGAAATCCCAAAACTTTAATTTCAATTTCGAAATCCCTAAACCCTAAATTCCTATTTTGAAATCCCAAATCATCCAACAAGTTTAATGATTTTACTCCAGGATCAGGTCATAGAAGAAAAAAACGGAGAAGAAGATGTAGACAAACCTACCGTTTCTAATGGGAGATCTTTCTCCGACGATGAAGGCGATGAACCGGCCTGAGACGCAGATGAAGACGAAGCAGAAGGCACATGTGTTCTTGGATCCATGGGTGTTTGATTTTTCACACAAATCACTAGAGAGATACCGAAATTGCAAGAAAAATGGGTTCAATTTTCTGAAAATCTCGAAACAGAAATCGCGCAAGAGAGAGAGAGAGTTTTCGAAATGCTGCAAGAGAGAGAGAACTGCACGGAGAGAGAGGGGACTGCACGGAGAGGGAGGTTACCGAGGAAGAGAGAGAGCGTTTTTTTAATTTGAATAAGTTGGGTATTTTTTAATCAAAAAGTAATGGTCCTTTTGGTCTTTCATTTAAAATTCAGGGATATATATGTCTTTACTCCATTTCAGATTTTATTTTTTTTAGATTTATTTTTTGAAGGGTACTCCATGAAGTAGGGATAGCATTTTAAGACATTTTTGCTATATCCCCAGTTTAAATTCTGCCAATCGGATATTAAAAAGGACCCAAAATTAAATATTGGGCCCAGAGCCCAAATTAATATCGATAGGCCCAAAGGCCCAAATACAGCGCCACTATATAAGGACACTCCTCTGGTCTCGAGCCTTCCACGGTGTCTTTACTTCAACCGAGTGATGGATAATGCGACCGTTTGATTCTCGACTTTTTTTCCTCTTCAGAAAAACTTCTCAATCCAAAATCCGAGGCGCACGGCAAACATGGCTTCCGTTTCCCAGCCGGTTGCGGCGGCGACGGCGGCTTCGCTGTGCTTTTGCGGCGGCTTCTCTCTTTCTACTCTGTCTTCTTCTCCGGTGACGTTGTATTTCCCGAGCGGTAACGCGGCTGGGGTTCGGCTTCGTGTTCGCGCCGTGAGGACGGAATCGGACGGTGCGTTGGTCGGAAGTAACCGGTCCTATGGCTCGGATTTGCTCCGGCGGCAGCAGATTGAGGAGGAGGATCAGGGTTTTGGTTCGGAAGAGGATGAGAACGGTGAAGATGGGGAGGCTGAGGACGAGTTCGTGGATTGGGAGGATAAGATCCTGGAGGTTACGGTTCCGCTTGTTGGCTTCGTCAGGATGATCCTTCACTCTGGAAAGTACGTGGTTGTCTTCATGGATTTTGAATTGTGTCAGGTGGATGCTAGTGCCAATGGATTCGTAGTTTGGGTAAACTTTTGAGTGATATTTACGAAGAAATCCATCGGAAAGCATCGTACCAGATGGAAAAATCAACTTCGAAATGAACAATTCAGAAGTTACTGTGAATTGAATGGTGAATTTAGCACTCCTTTCGCCATTTTTGCTCTGAAATCTGAACTTGAGATCGTCAGGATTACGTGTGTGTGAGCATTTCTTGAGTTTGTTTACGTTTAAGCGGAAGAAATTAGCTGATTTCGTAACCATTTCCCGTTGTTCGTAGGCATATATGACTGCTGGAATTATGTATTACAGTACTAGATGCTGAATTTAACCATGTTTTCATGAAAACCTGCTGGGAAGAAAATGCAGTTTCGGCATAAGCAAGACTCCTGGTTGATTGATTTAATAGATTCATCTGCTTGGAATTTGGAAAAAACGCAGATACGGAAGTGGAGATAGGCTAAGCCCTGAGCACGAGAGAATGGTCGTTGAGAGATTGCTTCCTTACCACCCGGAATACGAGAAGAAGATAGGACCCGGAATAGATCATATCATGGTACATTCCGTTCCTTCTTAGATCTTTGAAACCCACATTTGCTGGACCAATTTGCTGTTCGTTTTTTATCAATCTGTCCTCTTTGAAAGTTTATCTGAAATGGGATTATATATGTGTTTTCCGATTCGCTTTTCTTGTCTCGACAAAGAGCGGTCTGAAGTTGAACCTTCTAGTGAGCTGTTCAATGTTAGCTTCAAGTGACTACAATACTAGAATGCTTTTGAGAAGTGGCTAAGTAGTTGTTCTTTCCTCAAGAAAAGTTTCATCTTTCCTAATAATTTTGTCTGTAGGTTGTTCATTGACGATAATGATCTCTATTGCGTATGTTTTTCTACCGTGCTCGTATATGATTTTCACTTTGTTTTCTCTCTACCACATAATCCTGAAGAGACAAATCTGCATAAGATTTTCAGGCATTCGCTAAGTTCATGTCAATTTTTTAGCTCTGCATTTGCTTCTTGTTGTTAGTGTTATAAACAAAGATCTCATATCTCACTTGTCAGAATCAGAGATAGAAACTAATCATTGTACATATAACTGCTTCATTCAAACATCTATGATCTTCTACTTGTAACAAAACCTCTGAATCTTGGATTCTCAAATGGGTTTCCCAACTAATGAGACAAGGCTCTGTTTCTTGTTGCAGGTCGGGCATCACCCCGACTTCGAGAGATCCCGTTGTTTGTTCATAGCTCGGAAAGACGGTGAAATCGTCGACTTTTCGTATTGGAAATGCATAAAAGGTTTGATCCGAAAGAACTACCCTCTATACGCGGACAGTTTCATCCTCAGACATTTCCGAAAACGCCGGCTGAACAGATGAGGAGGAGGGTAACGTCCATTTTCTCGGAATTATTCCCTCGTTTGTTCCATCGGCACGAGAACTTCATTTGGAATCTGATCGTATAAATTTCGCAGCTTTCTACGAAACCCGAATGCTAAAAGTGTACAAAGAACCGAAGACCAAGTCTCTCTTTCTCAATGAAGAACACAGCTCCATCAAAATCTCGTCTGTGTTTATTGCATACGCCATTGTTGATAGGCTTAAGGTTCGTTTCATTGGTCTATCCATCAACTTTGGACCTCTACGTAACGAAGGTCTTGGACTGGGGGCAGAATTATTTGATTTTGGGTTAGATATATGAATATGTAGTCTGAATTCGAGTTTGAGTTTGTAAATCGAAATTATTCGTAGATTAGATTTGGTTTTCACGATTTTATATTCGGAATGATATCCATTATTGTATTATTTATGTGATTAAAAAGTGTGAAATTAATTTTAATATTATAAAAAATAGAAATTTATCTTTAATTTTTCAAATTATAAATTATTTTCAGTTTAATTTCAAAATTGGGATTTTGATAATAATATATTATGTATTTTCTTCTATTTCATAGATCCATTAATCCATTTAACTTATTTAATGCGAAATAGATATATATTGCCATGTGTATTTCTAACAAAATATAAATTTATCTTTAATTTTAATTTATGTATTTCTAACAAAATAGATATGTATTGTCATGTGTCTTTGTGGTAGCGAGAAAAATCATCAATATAATAGCTTAATAATTTGTAAATTATTTATTCAATAAATTATAGAGTGCGATATATATACATATTTATTTCGATACTTCGATTCTTTCAATTAATTAAAGAAAAAATAGTATTGAAATACCTAAATTTTTATAAAATTTTAGATAAATATCTAAAATATAAAATTTTCATTTAATAACTCAACTTTTAAAAAATCCTATAAAAATAACTAATTTTTTGAAAAATTTACGACGTTGGTTATGTTTATTTAAAAAATATTTATCCTTTAAATTGATTTGGAAATTTTTAAAAGTTAAGTATTTATCTAGAATTTTTAAAAAGTTCAGATATTTATATTGAAGTTTTATAATTTAGATATTTACCTAGAAATTTTATAAAAAAAAATCATGTATTCATATATAATTTTGCTTTAATTAAAATCAAAAGATTATTTGCTAAATTATTATCATGTAACAGTCTAAAATCTAAATCCTATTAAAAGGTCGAATCTAAATTCTCGACATTTCGCGTTACCGATGGATGATGTAAATTAATAAATATAAAAGAAAATCCATGATTTTATATAAACACAATTATTGTGTTTAAAGAGTCACTATTAAAACGTGGATAAATATCATGTACTTATTTGAATATATACATATATATATATATATATTTTAAAGTCATCGGGTTATATGTAATAATGAAGCATGGTCATGAAAACATGAGGCGACCAAATGAGATATTTTTTGTTCAACAAAAATATCTGGGGCACCCATCCCGCCAAATTGACCTACGCTGACGTGGCAACTATGCCACGTGTAAAAGCGGTGACAACTGTGCGTTCTTTTTTGTTCTCTCTCTAATATATACTCCCTCATCTCTCTCTCTCTCGCGGCGATATTTTTCTCTCTCCGTCTCTTTCGCAGTTCAGAAGATCACAGCCAATGGTTCGTGGATATAGAGGAAGCTTTAGCCGTGCGAGCTCTGACTCGTCTGAGTTTACTCGGGGCGAGTCCGACGAGGTTTCTTCGGAGGAAGGAGAGATGACGTCCACCGTGGTACAGATTTCATCTTCCCGATTCGTTTTTTTCTTGCATGTCTTCGTGAAATCAGGGGTTTTTGTGGTCGAGATCTGAATTTTGTCCGATTTTATCTTGTGAATTTCCGTTAATGGAGATGTTCGGTTTTCGATGCTCTTTGGAATTATTTGGTGTGCGAAATTTGTGTTCTTAGAATATGAGACCAAGAGGTTCTATGAGTACGAACAAGCATGTTATTCTCTATTTTGAGCAATTTTTGGTGGATCTTTCTATGTGAGAAGAAGACTTAAATGTATGATCCTTCGTTAAATTTGGCAAATCCCGACGGTGCCTTGATTAGGATCTCCATATGTTATTAGATTATTAGGAAATTTTTGTCTCAAATCATTAGCTGTATGTTTTCTTACCAATTAGGGTTCATCTTGGCGAATCAGTGCATCTCGGAAATTCTAATCATAGCTCGCCTCGGAAATTTCGCCATTATATTTGTTTTCGTTATTAGGAGTAATAATGTGCTAATCTACAGAACGATTATCTCGTGAATGAGAGTGAAACTTAGCCGTAAGCTTTCGTGCGTGTATGAACAATATGATAGAAGATATTTGTGCTTTTCCATGTTCAATTTCATGTCCAAGTGATTAATCATTGGTACCAAAAGATCCGATACCCGTCTGATTATAGATCCTTTGCGACATTTGAGACATGGGTTTGACATTTGCGTGACTGTTTCTAACATATGACAGTACCCTGCTGAGAAAGAGAAGGAATCGACAGAATGGACGGATGAGAAACACAGTTTGTATCTTAAATCCATGGAAGCCTCATTCATAGATCAGTTGTATAATTCCCTTGGAAATCTCGGTTCGCATTGTAACATGAGGAGTTCGACAGACGTAGAGTCATCCAGACAGCCTTGCTGGAAAAGGAATCCTTCCCAAGAACAGGTCTGAGACAGATAACTCTTTTATGCGGCGGCTGATCATCTGATCTCTCGGTTTTTTACTTCTGTTTGAATTATTTGTTTACCCGTTCATCTTTCTACTCCCGTCTCTAGTTCAAGGTTCATCGTGCTGGTTTCTGGAAGAGGATGGATGTTAAACAATCTAAGTATTGCTTTAACAGAAGTGGTACTTGTCACGAGGTTCTTGCGAGTCCATGGGTCAAACACTTTAGACCTTTACCAGCAGGCCAAAGCCCGGATTCCTCGACGTTTGAAGGTAGATCTGATCCTGTAGTGGTCTGCCCAAATGGTAGATCAGCTTCTTCAAAGCAGGTCGGTGCGGCGGTCTTCTGCCTCAGCAATAGGGATCAAATCAACAACAGAGAAGGTAGGTTTTAAATTTCTACTTATCATCCAAATGGGTTTTCTTTTTTCTGTTCGTATTGGATGTGTAAAACTGAAGTTTTTCGGAATGTATCCTCTTTGCCATTGATTTAAGCAGAGGTATCAGACCAGAACTTTGCCGACGAAGAAACTAAACAAGAAAAAGCAGGCTCGTCAAGCAGCTCGAAGAAGATGAAGATGGGGATGAGCGAATCATCGAGTAATGATCAGGTAAACATTCCGAGCAGTTCATCGACATTTCTCAACGCCATGATCGTATCTAAAGCTTGATTTCTCGGTTTCCCGTTCAGGTCGTTCCGTATGGAAAAGCTCCTTCAACATGATGATATACACGTAAGAAGAAGTCATCTCTTCGCTGGTAACAAAAAAGCAATGCAAATGACATTTTTTGTGTGTAAATAGTTTTAGGCAACTCGTATTCCTCTGTTATATATAGAACCTTGTTTCGGCAATGAAAGAGCTTTTGATGATCAAAAAAATTAGGGGTGGTTTATTCGGGTTTCGGTTCGGTTATTTCGGTTTTAGGAAAACTATAACTGTTCGGTTTTTTATATTGAATTCGGTTACATTCGGTTCGGGTTTTGGTTACGACAAAAATACTCATTTTCTTTAGAAAAAATTGGTTATTTTTTTATTCAGTTTGATTCGGGTTTGGATATGGTTTTTTGTTTTTGTTTTAAAGAAATCATAACCATACGATTTCATGTCGAATTCGGTTCGGTTATAGTTACGGTTACGTGTGATTCGGTTCAATTGGTCAGTTATCAACCAAATAAGTCCCCCTAGTATATTTCACGCGGAGAAAGAATTCGACGGCGGCTCAGTTTTGTGGTAAACTTCTAGATGTTATCATCATTATAATATTATGTTATGTTAAAACAGAAACATGAGTCACGACTCAAGGCTTTGGAAATTTCCTTTTTTTTTATATAATTTGCATGGAAAAAATTATCACCCGAAGTAGAAAATATTATTGTTTATTGTAGGGTTGGGCACAGGTCGGATATCCGCGAATTTGGAAATATTCGTCTTCGTCTTCACAGATTTCATGAAAACAATATCTCATTCTCTATCTGAAAACAATGTATCATTCTCTATCTGAAAACAATGTCTCATTCTCTATCTCATTAACACCGGATACCTGTGATTAAGAGACGGGTATCCACGGATACTAGTACCCGTAAAAAATATATTTTTTTAAATAAATATAAACCAAATATTTAGTAAAATTATATTATTTAATTCAAAAATATATTTAAAATATAAAATATATATATATATATATCTTTGAATATATATAGATTTTTAAAAGTTTTTTAAATATATATATGTTAATTTTTAAAAGTTAAAAACCTAATATTCAAATAAATAATTAAAAAAATATAGGAATATTTGATATTTTTATATATTTACGGGTACTTACGTTCGTAAAAATGAAACTCGTACCCGTCTTCGTTGTTAGTTTTATATACCCGTCTTTGTCTTCATTCAAAGGTGAGTACCCGTTTTTCGGATACCCACGAGATCGGGTATCCACAAACCCGCGAGTAACGGGTATAAATGTCCAGCCCTAATTTATTGTTCCGTTATGTTTAGATACCTATGTGTATTGTAAATATTGATATTTCCTTTGTTTTTCAGCTTGCATTCTCTTAAAGTTTTCCCTAAGCCTTATTTTCTTTTAATTTTCTTCTAAAATATTTTTGTCGTACTTTATGTTATTTCACAATTTTATGCTTTTTTGGATTCACTTTATAGAATGTTTAAGATTTTTACACATAAATTAACAAAAAATAATAATTGTTTAGCACGCATTATTGGGGCAACATTGACATTGATATTTTAACCAAAAAAACATTGATATTGATATTAATTAAAATAATATAGAAAAAGAATGATGTTTCAAAATTAATTAAAAGAAAGAAGAAATTCGGTGACATGTACTAAAATATTTTGCAATTTACGTTTTTTTATTTTTGTAATGGAGTTTTAAATTATAAAATATCTTAAATATTTTTAATTTTGTATTTTTTTTTATTTTTTTTTATAATCCGGAAGTTCTTAATTTTGTATTTTATTATCTAAAATAATGTTTTTATTCATCTTTCACACATTTCTTTTCTATCCCATATCTTTCCCCTCTAATAAGATTTTTAAATTTTTTAATCCATAATTATGGATTTCACTTAACATAGAATAACATTTTAAATGATTTTGATACAAATTTCATGCACACAAATATATATTTTTGTATGTTAGTTGTGGACCTGCCGTAGTATGGGACGAATATTGATGGTGACGATGAGGATGGTGATGGCAAGTTCGGTGATGTTATAGGAAATACAGAATAATAGATAAAAAGTAGATATACGATAAAGAACTCAAAAGAGTTATTTACCAAAAAAAAAAAAACAAGAGTGGAATATTTAAAAATAATAGATATGTGATATGAAATTCATAATTTTCATGTTATTGAGAATTGTTTTTAAAAAAATGTATTTGGTAAAATCGCTTTTTTCATAATCTGCAATTTAGGATTTTTGTCTTTAGTTTTTAGCTTTTAATTTTTGGTTGTTTTATTTTTGTACTATTTGTAAATTATTAAAATGGAACTTTTGATTTTTTAGTTAATTTTTTAATTAAAATACAAAATTTTGATGGTAAATATTTTTTATTTAAAAATTTTAAAAAACTCTAAAAACCTACCCCCAATTTGTTTAACATTTTGCAAAAGGAACCCTAAAATAAAACACGAGGAAAAAACGGCGTGGGGGAATTGGGAAGCGTGCCATTTAATCGTCTCTGTATCTCATCCTCCATACTTATCGATCAAGTCATCTCTCCCCATCTCTCTCCTTATCTATCCTCCATTTCTCCAGAACCAGACCCGATTCGTAGCTACAGATCTCCCGCAATTTCTTCAATTTTCTTCGGAAATGGCGAGCCAGCTGAAATCGGAAGCGATCATGGACATGATGAAGGAGCATCTCTCCACCGACGCCGGCAAGGAACTCACCAAGAAGATTGGACTCGTCTACCAATTCAACATCGCTCCCAAGGTTCTTCTTTCTTACATTCTTCTCGATGTTTTTGCGTCTTTTGTCTTGAATCTGTTTTGTCTTATGCTGCGTTGTTTTCTGTTCTGATCTGTTGATTCTCGTTTTTGGTTCGAATTTCAGAAATTAGGGTTCGACGAGGTTACTTACAGCGTCGATCTCAAGAAAGGCGAAGTTACCAAAGGTTTGTCTCCTTTCTTTTCTGGGGTTTGTTTATTCTCTACAATTATTGCATGAATTCTCTCAGTTCTGGATAATTGGGATTTTGACATGGATGATCTCAGAAGTTCCTTTGTGGGAAAAGTGAAAAAGTATTGCTTTGGATTTGATCCTCATGATTCTTCCATGGTGGGCCACTAAGATCTTTCAGGAACCGTTAATGGAAAAAGTTGTAAGATTGAAGGAAATCCAACATCTTTCAGGAACCATTGCTTTACTGATGGTTACTGTATTATTTGCTCACAAACTAGGGAAATTCGAAGGAGGAAAAGTTGATGCTACGTTTTCATTCAAGGATGATGACTTTGTCAAGGTTGCAACAGGGAAGATGAATCCCCAGATTGCTTTCATCAGGTGCTTTTCTCTGAAATCTTTCACTGTGTTACCCTTTCACGTTTCTGTTCAGTTTACTGCACAAAGATTATATAAACTGATTATTAGTCTTCTCTCTTGTTTGGAGACCATACCACCATTACTCAAAAGCTCTTACCTGATAGCCCCTCATTACAGAATGTGGATTCTCTGGTTCTACATTATGTCTGAATGCCCACAAGAACATATCAGAGGAAACCCGTCCGGTTTTGTACCTTATGAATTGGGTCTATGAGTATTCATGTGAACCCAATATCTCATTATAGAAGCCAAGTTTCTGAATGCAACATCTTATGAAATGTTATTGTTTCAATGCTTGATGTTGATGGGGTGCTTCCCCCTTTACGACCTGCTCCCTGATTCGTTTGAATTGAATGCAGAGGCGCGATGAAGATAAAGGGTAGTCTCAGCGCGGCGCAGAAATTCACACCCGACATCTTCCCTAAGCCTTCCAAGTTATGAACACAGAAAGACTGCCCCTTTTGATTTCATAGCCATGGTTTAGTTTAATGTTGTCTACAAAGGTGGTGGTCTCAGTTCAGTTAAAGCGGTACAAATAAGAACAAGACTTAATTCTTAAAAAAAAAAATCCACACCACCCAAATCCAGTGGATTCAAGGGTGATGGAAATAGTTCTTGTCTCCATCTACTTGCTATATAAATAATGGTATTCTCATTATGCAGAAAATAAAGATTTATATTCTTCTACATTCTACATTCATGGTTCCAAAATTGTGTGTTTTTTCTTTCTTATTTTCCTTTTCAAATTTGACATTAAAGAAATGTATACATTTCTAGACATTACACTTTAGTTAGGGGTGGCCGTCTCGAGGTTCGTTTCGAAATTTTAGCGGTTCAATTCGGAAACGGTATTGAACCGGTTTATTTGGTATTCTAAAATTTGTATTAAGCTAGTACTGTATATTATTCGGTTCGTTATTGGTATCGGTATGGGATGGTGTGGTTCTAATAAATATGAACCAAATAGAGATGGTTTGGGATGGTTTGAGACGGATCGGGATAGTTCATGATGGTTTAGGACAATTTAAAACAGTTTATAACATAATTATATCTCATATAGAAATATAAAAATAAAGAAATCTAATATAATAATTTTGGACAATAATCGCTATTAAGGAGTTATTAACAACAAAATATAAACATCATTCTGTAATAGATAATATCAAATAAACTAAATATTATTATTAATTATTAATATTTAATATTTTTAATTAAAAAAATAAAAATATAGAAATACCGTTCGATATTTTTCGAACCATTCCCGAACCGTTCGGTATCCTAAATTTTATACCATTCAGTTTTTTTATATAATACAAAACCAAACCAAAATCTAGTTAATCGGTTTGGTACGGTTCTGGACTAAATTCTGGCTTCTTTTTTTTTTTCGTTGTGTTTCGTTGTGTCTGGTTCAGTGTTCATGTAGTTATGGAATGGTGGTTGGATTAATTGTTGGTTAGCAGTTGGTTGTTGGGTACGATATATATTGTGTTTTGTACAATATATATGTTGTAATAATTAGGTCAAATAATATTTAATTGTATGGAAAATGAATATGAATGCGAAATTAAATATAAAATAACTAATTTTTTTTAATAAAACAACAAATTTTTTTAGCTAAATATTGAACTATATTCCAAAATATCCATGACTATGGGAATGAAAGTTCTCAAAAATATTCTTACATGATTTGTAACATATTCTTTTTATATACTTTTAATGATTTTTAGAGTTTTTTTAACAGTTTTAATGACTATTACACTTTTAGAGATAGACGTTTCGGTTTCGAACCGAACCGAACTAAAAAATACGATATTTTTCTTGATCCGAATCGTTCTAAATTTACGAACGGTATTATTTTTAAAAATCGAATTTTCCAAAACCGAATTTTAAAAAATCCCGAAAAACCGATTTTTTTAAAAGAAATCTATTTCTTTAATAAAAATCGGAACCGAAAACGAACCAAATAGAATATAAAAACTGATTGATATCTATTTTTATAAAACTGAAAAAACCAAACCGATGCATTGTCATCCGGAACCCGAACCGATTTCCAAAAAGTACACACCTACTTACACTGTTGGTTAATACTCTTTCAAGTTTTTTTCGGGTAAGTTTTTGTTGCTTTTATTTATTTTAAATAATTATTGGTCTAATCAATCGAATCTTCCAGTGTAATGTTCTAAAACAAATCACCGTTTAAAAGAAGACCTAAAAAGTAAACCGAAGATAACCGGTTGAATTCGGTCTAACTAAACCGGCTCAAAAATTTGGAATGTGTAGATTCCACTTTCCTCAAGGTCGATACAAAGTGTTATCCACATCAACAGTTCGAATTATGACAATCACATAACGTGTAATTCCTTTGATTTCAACTCTTCTAACAACTTTGACAAGAATTCAAATATTTACAATTTTTTTTTATGTTTTTACAAGAATGAATATATATATATATATATATATATTGGAAATTTGGTGAAATTATAGATACAATACAAGTATTTAAGATAATATCTTTATTGCAGGCAACATTCAAAGCAATAAGATCTAAAACATTAGATTTTTTGGATAACTCCTTGGGAAAGAAAATGGATATTATAGTTTTGAAGATAGCCACTGTTAGATTCACATTTATCGAAAATATTAAATAATTTCCGTATCTAATAAATTCCATGCCCTTTTTTTTACTTGCGCAAAAGAACGATAAAAAGTCAAAACAACCATTACGTGTCTCTCTCTCTCGCTCTCTCTCTCTCTCTCTAGATCTTCAATTCTTAATTTCTTGAAGCTATTTTTAAATTGGATTTAATTCCATTATTGTGATCTTAATTTCGTTTAATCAACCGATTTACATCGATTTGATCATTTTGATTAACACAAAAACGAAAAGCAAAATAATGTTTGGCGGCGTCTTCTTACAAAACTTATTGATGTTTTTTCTCTCTCGGCCTTGGGCACCTTCGGATCATCCCAACAGAATATGCTCTTTTACCTCCTCAAATTGATCGAAGTTCTTGCTTCTCTCTTCGCTCATGTCCTAAAGACAGAGACTTTGAGCTGGGTTTTGTCTTATATCGCCCCGATTCTCTCTATTTATCGTGTTCATCGTCCATCCGATTTCTGAGTTTTTGTCGAAATCAACCATTTTTCATCCCCTTTTGCTGCGAGCTTTGATTCATAATCACGATCTGTTGGATTTCGTTCCTGGGTATGCCAAGGTCGGTGATTTCGAGGTCTCCTGATGATCAAAGGTTCTTAATTTTGGTCCATGATCGCGTTGAATCTCGACAAATGATCGAAGTTTGATCGATTATCGATCTGGGCATCGGAGAAATTATCGATTTTGAACAATGAATGCTGTGGGTAGGATCGGGAGCTATATATACCGTGGAGTCGGTACGGTGTCTGGTCCGTTTCATCCCTTTGGTGGCGCGATTGATATCATCGTCGTCGAACAGCCCGATGGGACATTCAGATCTTCTCCTTGGTATGTCCGGTTTGGGAAATTTCAAGGAGTTTTGAAAACAAAAATGAATGTGATTAATATCGATGTTAACGGAACGGAAGCAGGTTTCAATATGTATCTTGCTCATACAGGACAAGCTTACTTTCTCAGAGAAGTTGACGATGTTGTCGGTGAAGGTGACTCTTTGTTATACCCTTTGTCCCTAGGCGATGAGGGAGATACTAAATCCTCTAATGTAGATGATGTTAGGGTACCTTTGAGGTCGAAAAGTTGTAACTATGATGCCGGGAGTGCCGGGAATAGCAACGGAATGAGCGTTGGCAAGCCCGGGATTTTAGGCTTTGTGTTTGGAGGGAGGTCGGTTAGGGAGGAACGGCATCTGGAAGACGTGGAAGAAGATGGTGGATCGAGTGTTGAAAGGCTTAGCTCGATGGAACGAGCTGAGATTGCGGCTGATCTGTTGGAGGTGAAATGGTCTACGAATCTTGATACCCGTATGGCCGTTAAAGCAAAAGTTCCAAGAATTCCGATTAGCGATGCAGGAGGTAGCCAAGAAGGCAACGCGGACACACATACAGACAGTAAAGAGAGACGAGAAAACGTATGTCTGAAAGGCAGTGCCGAGACCAGTGCCAGTGAGATTAGTTTCGAAGAGTTTGAGTCGTCTTCTTCTGGTGTGGACGAAACGGAGCCGGGCAGTTCAGGATTTCAATTGTCAGATCCATCGAAAACTGGATCAGATAGCTATAAGATAGAGATTTCTCGGTTTCTTGATCAAAAAGAGCAGCATTACCATGAACACAATGGTGAGGTTTGTGATGAAGAGAGTGTATCCGATGATGCTAAGTCAATCGATTTTTCCGAAGTGTCGGGAAGTCCGCTTCTTGTTGATGGAAGCTCCTACAAAGCAATATGTAATGCATTGTCTGTTCCTAGTGAAGGAAGTGGAAAGTTAGATGTCTGTGTTGAATCTACAAACATGGAGACAGCAACTGAGCCACAAGAACAGGTTAGTCATTTTTAAATTGATCCAAACAAGTAGCAAATAGATAAATCTGGAACTGAACTGATGTGTTGTCTTGTATTAATTGTGTCTTAACCAGGATACTGTTACTTTATGTGCTCTGGAAATTGAGCGAGAGTTGTCAAGTGTACCCGAACAAGTTGATTCGGGGAATTTTGGAGCCTCTCGTGAAGGAAACATCCCGAGAATTCAAGATGAGAGTAAAACCGGTACAGAAGATAGCCATGTGGCAAGCAACCCACAATCAGATGTTTCGGAGGAAGAACAATTTGCCTTTAGTGATCTTGACGAATGCAAGCATGACGGGACTGGCTCCGTGAGTTCAGCTTCTCCGGATACTGTAAAAGCAAATGAGAAGGAAATCTTTGAGACAAATGACGTAGCTCGTGAGAAACATATGGAGAAGTCAAAGGTTGTATCAAACCCGATAAATATCCATAGAGATACCGAGTACTCGAGGGAAGAGGAGGTGAGACGGGTAGAATCTTTACCCAATATGCAGCTTCTCAATTCGAGTTTTGATACAGATTCTTGCCAGCCTCTGAGCCATTCACTCGGCTCAAAATCCAAAACCCTGAAGTGGGGTTCCATAAAAGATGAGTCCAGCTCGGAGAATTTATCTGCAGGGATATGGAACGAGTTCCCGTCTGCAAACGAGGACAATCCAGACATAAAGGCATTCAAGCATGTGATAGATAATCCCGAATTCGGTAAGGAAATCTCCAAGATTCTCACAGAATTACATTTACTCTATACATTACAACAGTGTATTTCTCTTTTACTGAATTTCGGACCAAGTATAATTCCTATCTCCTTCCTCGTTAAGTTGCATGTAGTATAATATCTTTAAAATCTAACGCTGGCTTCTCGTTTTCAGTCGAGCTCTCTCTGTGCAAGCACTTGTTAAGCGAAGGAATGGGAGTTGAAGTGGCTTCTCAGGTATTCAACTCCGAAAAACTGGACATGAACAAGTTTGCCTCTCTGGGCCCCGCCGTCGTGAAGGACGAGAAACTCGTGGTTAGAATCGGTGGTTGCTATTTCCCATGGGATGCTGCAGCTCCCATTGTCTTGGGAATGGTTTCATTTGGAACTGAGAAAATACTCGAGCCCAAGGGCATGATATCTGTTGATCAGATTGATAAGCCCGGCGATTCAGCTCCTGGCAGTGGAGGATGGAAGATTTGGCCTTTTTCTCTAAAGGGTTCGCGGAGCGATGAAAAAATTACCGACCCGACCATATCTGCAACCGAAAACGAGGAAACGCGAAATATATCAAAGCCAAAGCCGGTTAAAAAGACGGTCAGGGCTCTAACCCCGACATCTGAAGAATTGGCGTCCCTGAATCTGAAAGAAGGGAGAAATCTCGTGACTTTTACGTTCTCCACAAATGTGCTCGGTACACAAAAGGTCATTGCATACTCTTTTCTTTCCGACCGCTGTATCGTTGCATAGCTTAAAAAACCGAGCTATCCATTTCGTTGTACTCATAAACTCTGTATGCACAATCAACAGGTCGACGCCAGGATTTACTTGTGGAAATGGAACGATCGGATCGTTGTTTCAGATGTGGACGGAACGATCACGAGGTAAGGGATCTCGGCTTTCAGTCGATCGGAAAACAAAGAAATAGTTAATATATTCAAGATAATTATGCATTTGCAAAATACCGTCTTATTGCGTTTCTCTTATCTGGGCAATCTCGTTTATGTTTCTCATTGGGTTTATGTTCGTAGGTCGGATGTTTTAGGACAGTTTATGCCTTTGGTCGGTATTGATTGGTCACAAACCGGCGTGACACATTTATTTTCGGCTATTAAGGTTTGTTACTTGCTGTCTGGTTTATGTTTTTCATGGCTCTTGTAGCATGAAAATGAAAATACTAAAGGTAAGTTTTTTTTTTCGTCGTCTCTCCGAACGTTTTTTTTACTCTTCAGGAAAATGGATATCATTTGATATTTCTTAGCGCGCGGGCGATTTCTCAGGCCTCGGTCACCCGGCAATTCTTAATTAACCTCAAGCAGGTAGCTTTTCAAATACAGAAACCGAAATCGAAATTACTTTTCTTCTACTAATTTTTCGATTTTTCCAGGACGGGAAAGCATTACCGGATGGACCCGTCGTTATCTCACCCGACGGGCTCTTTCCTTCTTTGTTTCGGGAAGGTAACGTATTCTGGGACAGAACTAGCAGTTACTTCGCCTGATTAAACCAATCTTCATCTCAGGCATTTCATGGAAAATTCACTTCTGTTTTTTTCCCTCAGTAATCAGAAGGGCACCTCATGAATTCAAGATTGCTTGCTTGGAGGTTGGTTTTTCTTCTACTTTGTTTTTGTTTTTGTTACGAAGCTTGTATTATATATTCATTCACAAGCTTCTTATTTTCTATTCTTTTGTACATAGTAAAAAAAAATGCGAAAATTATTAGTGCGTATGCTTAGAACTTAAAAAAAAAAAAACTCAACTTTGGATAGTTTAACCGGTGAAACGGGAAACAAAAGCGTCTATTCTTTCCCGAGTTTGAATCTCAAATTTGGGAAGGAGGCGTACCTTCCAAATCACGTGGTTGGTCTCCGACCCCGAGATTAGTTGGATCTTGATCCAAGATACTCGGTTATCAAAAATAAATTTATAAAAGAATAGAAAAGGGATACTTGTGTTTAGAAAGAAACAATTGATGTGAAAAACTCTATACAACATCCTCTATATATATATATATATTAAAAATTTTAAACCTCACATTTTCGTCACATTGAATCTATCATTAAATTAAAATATCTTATAGAATGATTATATAAACATGGCATCGTCGTGATGTAAAGCATTATATAAGCATGACATTAGCGAATGGATCAATAACTTCGATAGTTTTATCACTTCTCTAAAGATTCGGGGATTCCTTAACGCGGCTCGTTCTTCCTTTTTTTTACATATAGGAAATACAAGCTTTGTTTCCTCAAGATCACAACCCGTTCTACGCTGGTTTCGGGAACAGAGACACGGACGAGATCAGCTACCTTAAAGTCGGAATCCCCCGCGGAAAAATCTTCACCATCAATCCAAAGGTAATTCTTGATCCGGAAGAAAAAAAACCCATATATTGAAAACCAAATTATTTAGCAACAATTTAGTTGAACAAACCCTGGAATAATACTGGAAAATGCCTCAGGGTCAAGTTGCCGTCAACCGCAGAGTTGACACAAGATCATACACTTCTCTTCATGATCTCGTCAATGGCATGTTCCCGGCTACCGCTTCTTCAGAGCGGGTAACCATCGTTTTCTTTTTCGATCGCGAGCTTTTTTTTTGTTTAAATCAGACGATATGTTCGATCGATCACGACGATGAACCGATATCGAAACAGGAGGACTTCAACACTTGGAATTTCTGGAAACTTCCGACACCGTCATTTGATGCCTGAGAATCGCTCTTCGTCCCGACAGATAGATCGTAGACGCCGAGGTAACGCCGTTCTCGTCTCTCGTTTCTCGTTCCGACCCTTGTAAGTTTCCGGTACGTCGGTTTTCGTATCACAGGTTAGATTTCGGGCAAAATATATACATGTATATATTATGGTAGACAAAAATGGACCGGTTAGGTTTAGCTTCTCACTTGCCAATTCAATGTATTTTCAATTGTTCGGACTCTTTCTTTTTCTTTTTTTGTTCTTTTTGCCCATTTGGTAAAAAGTATAATATTTACTGTAAATTCCTTAAGACGAAAAAAAAAAGAATTTGACTCACATATAAAATATTCTTAGTACATTTTACATTTGATGGCTTACATTTTTGCGAACCCTCATGCGACAACATATTATTGTGTAATATATATTTGATTTGGTTCCTATAAGATATTTATATTAATTAAATAATATATGCGAACGGTATTTTCCGTATTTATAAATATTATAATTGTGTTTAATTTGAATAATGAAAAATTCAATTTGTTGCTCTACTATAACGTTACAACCTTTTTTCTAAATCCGATATTTTACCCTTTCGATTGAAAAACACCGATCATCAAACTAAGTATTTACGTTATGTTTATACGTATTTTTTTTTGTTCAATCCCTAAACCTTAAACCCTAATATATTGCACCTTTGGCGCCGTGGACAATATTGTCGCGCTATCTATCTTCATCACGTTATGGAAGTTAAAAAAAATTCTGCTATTTCACCTTAATGAAAATTTGTTCAAGACGCTTGTTTAAATACAAACACGTATATTTTTTTAGGCCAATTTTTTTACCGTTTCGTGTGTAGAAAAAAAATTACAAACATGTACGTACATACGGGGCGAACCCACTCATATTTGAGTCATGCCCCCTATCAAAATTTTAATATAGTTATAATTTTATTGAATTTTAATGAAAAATAGTAAAAATGCCCATAAAAATTTTTTTATAGGCCCCTCTATTCTTTTTTTGTTTTGAAATTAGATCATATATCAATATTTACCCCCACTAATAATCTCTCTCGGATCCGCCACTTCATACATACATAGACACTTTGGTTGGTTATTTCCTAGTACAATCATACGTACAATCCTCATAAACTAAGCGCATTATCCTCCAAATACACTCATTAATGTCAAGGCGATATATCATTTGTTGGTTGATGGTCCCAAACATCTCATGGATACGAAGAAGATTGGGCTGTCAAATAATATCTTAAAGTAATGGGGTAAATATGTAATCTATATGAACTTTCGGGTCTAATAGAAAATTGTTCGAAAAATATTGAGGAGCGGGAGGTAAATAAAAGTCTTCTGCATTTCCGAGTTTTCTCTTTTCCCGATTATTTTTCCTTTCTCGCTCTCTCCTTCTCTCCTTCTCTCTCTCTCCAGTTTCGCCATGGCTTTTCGTCACCACAATTTTCAGCAGAAGCCCCGTGATTCGAAGAACTTTAGGCGAGTTTCTGTTCTTATTTGTCGTTAGCTTTGGAAAAGTAAAACCCTAATCGAATCAATTTCCAATCGCTTCGACCTTTCTGATTGATTTCGTTGTCTGTTTCAGGGACTTGTGTGGGATCGATAGCCAGATTTCACCAGGACTTGGGTTCGAGAGCTCTGCTAATCTCCATGATCAGTCTCAGCATCCTCCGTATATTCCTCCTTGTAATTTTTTTTTATCTAATTTCCTTAAGCTTGATTCTTTTAGGGTTTCTTCTTCATTTTTTTGGGGGTTATCGCTTATGAATCATCGAGGACGCAAGACTGAAATACCATTGCTTCGTGTAATTGGGTTTTAAGGGTTTAGTTTCGTTTTGGGTTTTCGTAATGAGTTTCTCATTTTGGTTTATCGACTTCAATTATGATGATATAATTTGCGTATAGAAATTTAGACTTTATATTGGAGCTTAATGTTTGATGTTTTACAACAGTAACGGTTCAATTGAGAAATCGAGTCTTTGAGAAATTTAGGGTTTTGAATTTTTATGGAATGTGAATCTCATTCAATCAATTGGTTTAGGGTTTCAAATTTTGAGTTAGAAATTTGTTGAGTTCTGGGGATTAGGCAAGGATTTTGAATGAAAAACGTAGTTTTCTTGGTTTTCCTATTTCGTGGCTAGCTTATGACTCTTCTCGTGTATATACTGTTATCTTTAATGTTTAGTTCATGTTGCGGGTTTTGCACCGAGCCCTGTTGTGAAAACTGACGGTCCCGATGGAGCCTCCGACTTACAGTGGAACTACGGATTTGAACTGAGAAGAAAGAGAATAAAGGAGCAGGATTTTTTAGAGAGTAACAGTTCTCAGATATCTTCAATCGACTTTATGCAAGCTCGGTCTGTTTCGACTGGATTGGGACTTTCACTTGACAATGCTCGCATTGCGTCTTCTGATAGCTCGGATTTGTTGTCGCTTGTCGGAGATGATATTGACCGGGAGTTGCAGAGGCAAGATGCTGAAATTGGTAGATTTCTCAAGATTCAGGTAACTTTGCATGAAATTCGTAAACTTTCTATTATTAGGTTTTGTTAGACGTTATCGGTTAAAGAGCTCGTTGCTTCTTTAAGTTATATCATCGTGTGCCGGATGATTTGCAACTCGTTAGAATAGGAAATAAGATTGTAATGGATTGTCGTAAAATATCTTAGGTTGGAATATTTGATGGGCATACACCGGAAAACTGGTTCTACCTATTTTGTGCCTGTTTTCTAATTCTATCTCTAACTACTCCGATTATTCAACCATTTCTTTCTTAAATTGCGTATAACAAGAGTCCTCTACTCGAGTTCTTCTATCAATGAACTCGTTCGTCGGCCTAGCTGCCCGTGTGCATGTTTAGTTCATTTATACCGAGTATTTCTGATTTTTATCTTGAAAATTGCGAATACTTTGCTTCTCCTATGTAATCTCGAATAGGGAGACCAACTACGGGAAACGATACTCGATAAGATTCAGACGAGTCAACTTCAAACGGTGTCTCTCATGGAGGAAAAAGTTCTCGAAAAACTCCGTGAAAAAGAAGACGAAGTGCAAACCATGAACCGGAAGAACAAGGAGCTCGAGGTACGGATGGAGCAGCTAACAATGGAGGCCGGGGCATGGCAACAACGTGCAAAATACAACGAGAATTTGATCAATGCCCTCAAGTACAACCTCGAGAACGTGCATTCTCAGCCCCGAGACAGCAAAGAAGGGTGCGGGGACAGTGAGGTGGACGACACAGCTTCGTGTTTCGGCGGGAAAACCTCGTGGATAAACAACAGCGACATTGCGGGAACGGAGGGGTCGATCTCGGCTCCGATGATGTGTAAGTCGTGTGGAGTGAGAGAGGTGTGTATGTTGTTGTTGCCATGTAAGCATCTGTGTCTGTGTAAGGACTGTGAAAGCAGCCTTAGCTTCTGTCCGTTGTGCAAGTCTTCCAAGTTTCTAGGCATGGAAGTGTACATGTGATTTTGTGTTTTTGTGTAACCGTTATCTGATTCCTAGTAACAGAACTGAACTCATGCATTGTGTTAATAATAATATTAATATTATTATCTCCGCTTCTTTCACTTAATTTCGTTGTAATCTTTTCTCCGATTTGCTTCCTTTTTTTTGTGTGTGTGAAATTTATGTGCAAAGAAGGAAATTAGGATGGCTATTTTGGTTATTAATCGAACCGATCCGGACCAAATAAGACAATTCGATTCGGATAAAATGAGATATATCCGTAATCAAATCGAGTACAATATAAAAATCGAATTGTTATAGTTTCTCTAAATCCGAATTCAAACGGAAAAAAAATCGAAAATTTCATTAGAAAAATGAGTTTTTTTATCGAAAAAATTGAATCTGAACCGAAACGAATCGAAATCGAATCAAATTATACCGAAATTGATACAAAAATCGAACGGTTATAGTTTTTCTATAACCTAATATAAGCAAATGGAATATGAACCGAAACCGAAACGGACATGTGGCAACGAATGAATTTTCAAAAATAAGAAAAGGAGAATCCAAAAAAATACAAAAACGTATCATTCGGCCCATTAGAGGCCCACTTGCATGCTCGTGAAGGCTTGATAGGAATGTGTTCTCTTCATTGCTCGGCCCATTAGAGGCCCACTTAATTAGGCCTACTCAGTATGATTTATTAATTATCGGTCCATTAGAGGCGCCCACGTACCAAAATAGTTGCAGCTCGAAGTATACACTGTGATTATGAATATTATATATATCATATATATCATATATAATATAATTAAGAGAAAATGATATTTTTCTACATGAATTTAGTAAAATGTGACATTTTCCTACACAAAATTTTAATTTGACAAATACCAACACTAATTAACAAATTTTCCAAATCGATACACGAATTATTCAATTTAATGCAATTAACTACACAATCCGAAATTGTCCGTTAATTGTTGACGTGGAAGGCCACGTGGTGGCTGGCATAGCACGCTACGTTGTAATTTTTTGCCATGTCAGCACAAATTTTTAAAAAAATAAAAAAAATAAAAATATACATATATATATTTATATATTTGTATGTATATAAATTTCAATTTTGTATAAATTTAAAAAAAATATATTGTATAAATTTAAATTTTATACAAATATATAAATATATACATATAAATATATTTATATATACACTAAGACACATATGTAAATATATTTATATGTATGTATATATATATATATGTTTATATTTGTATCTGTATATGGATATGAATATATATATATATATATATATATATATATTTTTTAAATTCGTGCTTACATGGCAAAAAAATCTCACGTGGCCTTCCACGTCAGCAATTAACGGAAAATTTTGGATTGTGTAGTTAATTGCACTAAATTGGATAATTCGTGTATCGATTTGGAAAATTTGTTAATTTGGTGTAGTCATTTGTCAAATTAAAAATTCATGTAGGAAAATGTCATATTTTGTTAAATTCGTGTAGGAAAATGTCATTTTCCCTATAATTAACGGGTGTAGGAGATGCCTTCTAATGGAAGTTTAAAAAAACATTAGCGATTGTCAAGAAAATGAATGAATTAAGAAGAAGATTAGTGAACTTTCACCTAATCATGCCTTGGAAAGTGATGACAAAGAGAAAAGAGGTTTAAAGGAAAAGAGAGAGCAAATGCTTCTGTTCTCCATTATCTTCTTTTCTTCCTTTTTCATGTACACTTTCTTTTCTACTTGTTCAATGTCCATTTTATAACCTATAGTTTCTAGCTACATTACCTGGATTTTAATGAATCATTTAACTCATTATCTCATCAAAGATGGTGAAAAAAAATAGATTTTATCATTCATTGTTCCGAATTTATTATAAGGGTTTACCATTGGACCGTAAAAAAAGTCGAATACTTTACTAACCGATTGATATCATTTTTCAAAATAAACGTAACGTCAATATTCGAAATTAAAATGTGTAGCATTGTTTCTCTCCATGTATTCTTTCACAAGAAAGTGACGAAATACCTGATTGAGCCTGTATGTAAACAAGTTGTTCAATCGGTTTGGGGATGAGTACTTTGTACTCAAATCCCCGGATATCAAATTCCGATATAGACTAATCGGATCAAATATCGACCAGAAACTTTTGTAAACCGATTGTTTTACGCATAAACCGAATCGAACCGAGCTTAACTGTTCAATTCAACCGGTGCTTAACCAAGCAATTTACCGTCTAAGCAGTAGAAGAAGAGAAAGTACTTTTACCAAATAAACACAAAAGAATTGCTTTTCTTCATGCCCTTGCACTCCCACTAACACTTGAGAGAGAGAGAGAGAGAGAGAGAGAGAGAGAGAGAGAGAGAGAGAGAGAGAGAGAGAGAGAGAGAGAGAGGGAG